TTAAAAATAAAATGAAATAAAAACAAAAAAAGCAGTTGGGGGTGGGGTGAGCAGAGCCTATGCATGCCCAGTGTCTGGCGAGTGCTGGGTCGATGGCAGGATGGGGAGCCCAGACTAGACAGAGGAAGGGGGTCTGGAAACGTTCCCCACCCAGGCAGGCCAGGCCAGCAGGTGTCAACCCGAGGGCCCAGCTCCCGGGCATGTGGGCACTGGGCAGCCTCCACATCACACCCTCGTCCCCAAGCGCTGGGCAGTCACTTCTTCCGACGCCCACCCTTCACGGCACATCCTAAATTGGGGTCCCACCCCCCCTTCGCCACCTGCACCCTCTGTCCTTGCCATGAGCCAGCCAGCCTCCGGAGGTGGCCACTGCCCATGGGGAAACATAAATCCGCTCCCTCTCCCCCTCTCCTGGAAAACCAGCAACATACAATCCAGATGCATCATAACCCACACCCAACCTTCTGCGCTTCCCTCCCCTCCCCCTATCCTCCCTACGATCCCCCTCCAGGTGTCTCTCTTTAAAAAAATAATAATTTTTTTTTATTGGTCTCAAGGAGGAAGGAAGAGAGAGAGAGAGAAACATCAATGATAAGAATCATGGATTGGCTGCCTCCTGCACGCCCCACACTGGGGATCGAGCCCGCAACCTGGACATGTGCCCTGACAGGGAATGGAACCTCAACCTCCTGGTTCATAAGTGGCCGCTCAGCCCCTGAGCCACGCTGGCTGTCCCTGGCCAGCTGTGTGTGACTTTTTTTTTTTTTAATATATTTTATTGATTTTTTACAGAGAGGAAGAGAGAGGGAGAGTTAGAAACATCGATGAGAGAGAATCATCGATCAGCTGCGTCTTTCTCACCCCCTACTGGGGATGTGCCCACAACCAAGGTACATGCCCTTGACCGGAATTGAATCTGGGACCTTTCAGTTCCCAGGCTGACGCTCTAACCACTGAGCAACACTGTTTTTGGCTGTGTGTCTGTTTATGACGCTGGCCATGTTGGGTTAAGGCACACTTCCAATGACCTCTCACCGCTGTTTGGTAGTCAGGTCCCAACTCAGGTGTCCCTCCTGGCCAGAGCAGCCGGCTGGGTCACACCATCGGCTTTATCTTTTACAGTCGCCACTGGTGGAAGTTCTTTCCTTGCGTTTTATCATCTTTACCCTGGCCAGAGCATAAGCTTCGTGAGAGCAGGGACTTGCCTGTCCTGCTAGGGGTTGTGTGCCAGGGCCTAGACCAGCGCGGGGAACCCACTAGAAACCAGTCCACGCTAATTGACTGAGCGAGCTTGCTGGCCCCTGGGAACACAGGTTGCCAGTTCAGGTTCACCTCCCATGCTCTCAGCATCCCACACCTAGGTCTTACACCAGCTGTTTGGTATTCATGTAGCATTGGAACTCTGCATCACCTTTGCAATCTTTTTTTCTATGAATCTAAAATGGTTCTAAAGCCCTGGCCGGTGTGTGGTTCCGTTGGCTGGGCATCATCCCAGGCACTGAAAAGTTGCAGGTTCGATTCCCGGTCAGGGCACATGCCTGGGTTTCCGGCTCCGTCTCCAGCAGAGGGTGCGCCGGACGCAGCGGATGGATGTTTCACTCTCGCATCAATGTTTCTCTCTCCCTCCCTCTCCTTTCCCCTTTCTCTAAAAATCAATAAACTTTTAAAATGGTTCTAGGAATAAAGTTTGTTTTTAAAAAGAGTGGAAAGTGGCACTTGGATTTCTGTCCCTCATCCACCCAGTTCCCATTCTCCACTCCAGCCACTGCTTTATCAGTGTTCTGTGGATCCTTCAAGAATTCCCGCAGGGAGCACCCGCCTTGGGGCACATCCACCCGAGTCTCCGTTTTGAGTGGGTTTTCTTTCTCCTAAGCTCTAAGGGTCCCCCCACGAGAGCACTGGGCAGCGGCAGCTCATCCCAGGCTGACTCCCAGCTTGTCCCCCAGGCCCTGTCTCTGCCTCTCCAGGGAGCTGACAGCACCCCGCCTTGGCTCTCTCCTGCTGCCACCTCTGCCCTGGACCCCTTCCCACCTTGTTTCACTGTTGCTCCAAGCTTTATAATAAAGAGACTCTAAAAAAAAAAAATCCTTTATGCAAATGTGAATCAATGCTGATTTTCTCCCCAAAGGGTTTTTAGATTTTCCCTTGGAAGAGCATTTACTCATTGTAATGTAAAACAGTGCAAAGACACTTACTAGAGAGAAAAATGCAATGCACCTCATACACCCATCACCCACGTTCAGCCATTACCAAGGCTTTCTGCGTGTGTGTGTGTCAGGTAGCCCTCGTTCTCTCTCTCTCCCGTTGGCTGAGATGTTTTAAAGCAGATTCCAGGCTCCTTACACCTGGGAGCAGGCACCCCTGAACAATCTGGACATCTCCTGTCACCCCAAGTTCCTATCCCACCGACAACGGTGACTCCAGAGGGCCTCCTGTGGACATCAGCCTGGGTGACGGGACACAGAAAAGCTTTGCGGGGCAGGCGTGAGCACGGTGACCTAATTATGCGCGTGTGGGATGGTTTGGGTGTGGAGGAGTCAGAGCGGGAGGCGAACTGCGAACGCCCTTGGTCTAGATGCCAGCAGATAGGCTTGATGCCAGGTGTTTGCAGCTGCGTGGGGAGCGGGAGGGGGGCAGCTGGAGAGCCTCTGCGGGGAGCCACTGCCTGCCTGCCTGGGGACAGGGGACCCTGATGTGAGGGTGGGGCGCCTGCCACTCTGTGTCCATAGGACCTGCAGGCAAGAGGGACCCCAGTGGCTAGGCTCCCCTTCTCAGGAGAGGGGCTCACTTTGATTACCTCACCCCGGGGGACACTTGCCTGCAATGCTCCAGCGAAGGACCAGGGCCCCTTCCAGTTCATGCACAGGAGCACGTCAGAGCTGGAAGGCCTGGGGGTCGTGGAATGTAACCCTTTCTAGTTACACGTGGGTAAACCAGCCCCAGAGAAGGGGTGCAAGTCCCTAGGGCCACAGGGGGAGTCAGAAGCAGAGCTGGAACCGGGCCGGCGTGGCTCAGTGGTTGAGCATTAACCTATGAACAGGAGGTCACGGTTCGATTCCAGATCAGGGCACATGCCCGGGTTATGGGCTCGATCCCCAGGGTGGGGCATGCAGGCGGTAGCTGATCTGTGATTCTCTCTCATCATGGATGTTTCTATCTCTCTCTCCCTCTCCCTTTCTCCCTGAGATCAATAAAGAACCTAAATATTTTTTAAAAAGAAGCAGAGTTGGCACAAGAGGCTGGGTCTCTTGAGTTCCTGCCTGGGATCTCCGTCACCTAGAGCTTCCTCTTCCATCCTAACCCGCTCCCAGAGGGCTGCCTCCTGCCCCTGATGCCCAAGGGCACACATTCAAGATGGGGGGATGTGTGCTGGGAGGTGCTTGCTCGTGGCAACCTCACTCTGGAGATCTGCCATTGATGGAGGAGCAGCAACCAGGCTCACAGGCTGTGCCACGGCCTTTCCACACATCAGGTCTGAGGCTCCCCAGATCCCGGGAGGCAGGCACTATTACATCCGAAACCACCCATTATAGAGATGGGCAAACTGACATCAGGGAGATTCAGCTTGTCTAAGGTCATACAGTGAGCGTGTGGCAGACCCAATGTCTGCATAACTGAAAAGTCTCCCCTCTCAGCTACACACACACACACACACACACACACACACACACACTGGCCGCAGGAGATCCGGGTGGCGCCCCACGGAGAGGACAGTGCCTTCTCCGGCCTCCTCCCTCCGTGAGGAGCAGACAGGTTACAGACTCCGAGCCTCCCGGGAGCTGGGCCCTTCCAATGCGGCCTTTGGTGCGGGCCATAAAGAGGCTTCCCGCTCTGGGTGCTGGGGGCCTTCCAGGGGGGCCTGTGGCCCAGCGGGGCGGGCACACTGGCCAGCCTTTCCCGGCTCTGCTCCATGCCCTGCGGGGCCCTGGGCACAAGAGTGGTCCGTTCAGGTCAGTCACTCAGGCACTGGGGCCGGAGGGAAGGGTGTCTGGGAGACAAGGCTGTAAGGAGAGGCCTGGAGCCGGAGGACTGGCCCTGCCCTGGGACGTTGGAGCCCAGGAGCTGGCACAGGTGGGCAAGGGCGTCCTGGGCAGGGGCAGGGGTGCCGCCTGCGTGCAATGCCAAGCTTGGAGCGCAGAGCCGCGTCCTGGAGGGCCCCCTGGCCGAGGGCGCTGGGCACCGGAAGCCGCAAGAAGCCAGGATGGGGGCGCAGCGCAGGCACGTTCGTGGGTTCACCCTGTGCAATGCGGAGCCGGTCACGTGGGTGGTTCTGGGCGCATCCACGCCCCTCGGACTAGGCCCCTCGCCTGCAGTCCCCCGGGGCGTGGGAGCAGGGGTCAGGCCGCGGTCAGACGCGGGCACGCCCCGCCCCCGACGGCCTCCCGGAGCCGCGGTTCGAGTCCTGGCCTCGGTGTGACTCGCTGCGGGGGTCCCGCCGGGGTCCCTCCCTCTGTGGGCCTCCGCTTTCCCACGCCTGAGGTCTCGGGGAGTCCGGGGTCTCGGTCCCGCGCGGCCCGGAGCCCCCAGGCCGCCACGGGGGGCCGGCGGCCCGGCGGCCGCAGCGCGCCCCTCCCACCGCGGGAGCGCGGACGCGCACGCACCTGGCGCCGCGGGGGGAGTTGGGAGGGTGGGGCCCCGCCCAGGCTCCGCCCCTGTCTCCCCAGGACCAATCGGAGCGGGCGGCTGGCCTGTGGGGGCGACGCGCGGGGGCGTGGCCTGCGGCTGAGGAGAGCTGCGGCGGGCGGCGCGGGCGCTCTGGCGGAGGCGGCTGCGGCGGCGGTGGCGGCGGCGGCGGCTGAGGCGGCGGCGGCGGGTCCCGGGACAGCGAGCGACGCAGCGCGCCCGCGGCCGCGACAGGCCGGCCAGGCGCCGCACCCGCCGCCTCGCCACCGAGGGCCCGAGAGCGCGGCGGCGGCGCGCGGCCTGGGAGCGGCCGGAGCGGCGGGCGCGGCGCCGAGCGTCCTGTCAGGCGGCGGAGGGCGTCGCGGACTCGCGTCGCGATGATGCCGGTGGGTGCGGGCGACGGCGGCTTCCTCCACGGGCCGCCGGCCAAGCCTCCTTCCTCCCCGGTTCCCCGCCCGGGGCCCCGCGCGAAGCCGGCCGGGCGGGCGGGCGGGGAAGGAAGTGGCCCGGCCCCGCGACCCCGGGCGGCAGGTGGGGGCGCCGGGCTGTCAGCGCGGCCGGGCGGGGGTCCGAGGGCGGGTCCCCCGGGGCCGCGGCCCTCCCGCCGGGCGGGGAGGCGGGAGGTGGGGTCGGGCCGGCATTTCAGGCCGGGCGGCCGCGAGGCCCGGTGGCGTGGCGCCCGCCCAGGTGCGGGGCCGCGGCGCCTCTGCCCGCTGCACCGTGCGGGCTCGGCTCCGGGTCCCCGTGCGGCGCCCCCGCGCTGGAGCCCGCGTCCTGGTTCCGGAAGCTGCGGCGGCGGCGGGCCGGAGCGCACCGGGGGCGGGGTTGGACCCTGGTTCTGGAGCTGCTGTCTGGACCCTGGTTCTGGAGCTGCGGTCTGGACCCTGGTTCCGGAAGCTGCTGAGGCCGGAGCTCCGGGGGTGCGGCTCGCAGACCGCTCGGAGCCCCCGCCTGGGTCGGAGCCTCTGCGTCCCCGCTGTCGCCGCGCTGCGGAGGCGGCCAGGTCCGTCGCTGGTGGCGCCGCCCGTGCCCCGCCGTCCGGGACGCATCCTGCCGGGCGGGAGGCACCGGCCCCTGCCCCACCCCCCTCGCCTTCCCTTCCCGCCCTCTAAACGGCCCTGGGTGCTGAATTATAGTTCTCTAACCCAGCTTCGTGTGAAGCGAAGGTCATGACACGGGAAGAGAATGCGGGCGGGGGCTCCCGGAGGGATGGGTTGGTTTTCCCAGAGCCTGTTTATTTAGTGAAATTCTCCAGCACGCTCACAGGAAAGCAGCAAAATCGTTCTCTACTCTGCAGCCTCTACGCTGAAAGCCACCAGCGTTTTCCATAGAACACCGGCCTCTGCGGGGCTGGGCCCAAGGACATTCAGATCAGAGCCCCCGAGCTCCCAAGTCATTTCCTCTTTGGATAATCTTTCCCGATTTTTGAACGGATTCCAGTCCCTCCTGTTTGCGGCGTCTTAAGGTTTGACCGGGTTGATCCTTAGATCCTTCTTTGGCATCCGGGCATGTGGTGTTTCTAAACATTTGGTTTTCAATGGAGGACTTGTCTTTAAGGGAAGGAGAATTGGATGAGCATCAGAAGGTTCAGAATCCAGTACTGGTTCTGCTACTTTTTAGCGTTGTGACCTTGAACAAGTCAAGGCCTCCACGCCCGGAATTGAGGGGGACGTGCCCGGGGGCCGTCCCTGCAGCCGGACAGAATGATGTGTCCCAAGTGCCTGTCAGACAGATGCCACGCAGATGTTTACTCTGGTTAATGTGCTCTGAAGTGTCGCTTCTAATTTTACCCCCTGCGAGATAAGGTATTTGGAAACAGTTCCCTCCCTGATTCTCTCTGGCTGGGTTTGGAACATTAGGGTGTTTTGGAATTTTGAAAGCAGTTTTAGTTAAACCTGTGAGAGTGGGCTGATGTATTACTATGCTACAGTAATACTGAAGGTTAACTACAAAATTTTGACTGATTTTATCATTGCATAATGTTTCATTGTAAATACCGTGTTTAAAAAAACACAAACCACACTTGGTTTATAGTTTTCACATGATACATTCATACATTTTACCTCTGCATGGTTGGTTTCTAGTCTGTCCTGCCAGCTTTCCTTTTTAAAGACGTTTGCTTAGCTAGCATTTGGGAAATTTCTTCATGGTCCTCAAAACAATCAAACACTGCTTTTAAAAAACAGGCAGGGCCGAAACCAGTTTGGCTCAGTGGTGGAGCGTCGGTCTGCGGACTGAAAGGTCCCGGGTTCTATTCCGGTCAGGGGCATGTGCGTTGGTTGCGGGCACATCCCCTGTGTGGGGGGTGCAAGAGGCAGCTGGTTGGTGTTTCTCTCTCATCGATGTTTCTAGCTCTCTGTCTCCCTTCCTCTCTGTAAAAAAAATCAATAAAATATATATAAAAAAAACAAAAAAACAGGCAGGGCTATTAACCAGAACACCCTGCTTTTGTCTTAAAGTGCCTTCTAGAGACAGAATGTATTTCCCTTGGCCCCTCTTGGTGCCCTCTAACTTTGTCTTTCCTTCTTGGCCCCTAAAAATGCTACTTGTAGGATCGAGTCTTTCCTCTTTCAACACAGTTGGGGTTGGTTGTAAATGTAATGACATGTGATTCTTGATAGTATCTCAAAATACATACCCAAGACATGAATAAGATTTTCTTTATTGTGTATTTGGTGTTCATCATCACGATGAATCACCGAAGCAAGATTGGGCCTTTTTTTTTGCAGTTCGTAGAGAATAGCACCTCCAATAGGAGTATAACGTGGGCCCCACAGACACAATTTTAAATTTTCTAGTAAATACACTTAAAAAGGTGGTGTTTTTATTTTATTTTAAAAAATATTTTTATTGATGTCAGAGAGGAAGGGAGAGGGAAGAGAGAGAAAGAAACATCAGTGATGAGAGAGAATCTTTGATCGGCTGCCTCCTGCACACCCCACACTGGCAATCGAGCCAGCAACCCGGGCATGTGCCCCAACTAGGAATTGAATGGTGATCTGGTTCATTTGTTGACACTCAACCACTGAGCCACACTGGCTGAGCAAAAGGGTGGTATTTATAAAATAATGGCTATTACTGACTCATTTATATCAAATACTATAATCTCAGCACATAATTGTATGAAACATCTATTAATTTGATATTTTAGCTTTTTTTTTTTTTTGTACTAAGTCATTGAAATCTGGTAGAGTTCAGTATGGATTAGGGAAGCTTCACACTAGAGAACACATCTCATTTCAGACCAGCACATCCCAGCTGCTTAGCAGCCACGTGTGTTCAGTGGCCACCAGTGTAGAGTGTGTTTTAGTTTATCTGAAAATTGGCGGTCAGTGTGCGGTGTCTGTGGCGACTTGGAATTGACCCGGTGGTTCCCTGCAGCGCCCATCCTCCCAGCTGTTGGGAATAAACGGGAAAACATCCGACTGGGCACTCATCTGACACATTCAAATCTTTGAAGAAGTTTGCCTACTACAGAGTCCCATGACTGTCTACTTTTTTTTTTTTTAATATATTTTATTGATTTTTTTACAGAGAGGAAGGGAGAGAGATTGAGAGCCAGAAACATCAATGAGAGAGAAACATCGACCAGCTGTCTCCTGCACATCCTCCACCGGGGATGTGCCCGCAACCAACATACATGCCCTTGACCGGAATCGAACCCGGGACCCTTCAGTCCACAGACCGACGCTCTACCACTAAGCCAAACCGGTTTCGGCCTATGACTGTCTACTTTTAAACTAAGTTACATTTTGGAAATTCCCCTTATCAAAATAGTTTTGCATGCTATTATCTGTAGTTACTCACCTAGTTTATTTATTTATTTATTTATTTATTTATTGGTCAGTGGAAGACATTTTAAGGATGTTTTCCCAAGAAATAAAATGGGCTATATTTTAAAGATTATTTGTTGACTTGTCTCTAAAATCTGGACCTGAAAGCATTTAGGCTATGCGTAAAGAACTCTGATAGAAATAAGAATTTTAATAAGAATTGCTTGATTCAGAGCCTAAAGCATGAAAACTGTCTTGATCATTAGTCAGCATCATTCTTTTTTTAAAAAGAGCAAACATTTGCAGTTGCTACGTCTTTTTGTGCATTATATATGGCTAATGGTGCTAAGGATACTTTTTCCTCTGCCAAAGGAATATTAACTTGGGTAAAGGAAGCTTATGGCTCTGAAATGTGTCTTATTCGTAAGAAGAGCAGGCTGGTGGTAGTGTTTTGGTTGTTAGCGGTGGGACTCCTTACCTCCAGTGCACCCACGCAGTGTGACTAGCTGGCTCCCCTCATCTCTGTCCCAGGCGCCCTTTCACCACGTGGAACTATGGTCTATGAGTTACATTATTTTGTGTTTAATATTTAACGCCTATTAAGCAAATAGTCACTTATTTCAGTGTCTTCCCAACTATATTGAAACATTTAGAGGTATTAGCATAGGTCTTCCTCTTTTTGAGCCATCGGCGGTCATGTAATTGATAAAACAACAAATTGGAGTTGGGAGATTAGCTGCCAGTCCTCTCTAGCTAGTAACTGTGTGACCTCTGAACTTAAACTCTTTGGGCTTCCATTTCTCTTCTGTAAAATGAGTTGGTCCTGGTGATTACCAGGTGGTTATTTTGGTCCCAAACTTGATGTATAGCAGACACTTGCATGAAGGTCAATACTATTCGTATTGGCTACATCAAAGGTTGAGGCATCCTGGCCCACTTTGTGTTGGCAGCCTTTTAGTAAGCTGCCCAAGTATCTGTGTGTGATAGAGTGGCTAGGAAGAGTTGAGTAGGTGTTCACTATTATTGTAAATTAATAATTAAGTCACTGAGAGGCTTGAATTTATAGCCTTAATTCAGTAAACAAAGACTAGATAATTTTTTTGAAACTTGGAAAACTTTTATTTACTTTCTCACATCACAGTTCATTGGTATGAGCAGCTAAATCTATCTCCTCAGGAGAACATAGCACTGTTGTCAGTTACATCCTATGGAGGACTTACATCTTACTTAGGTCACAGTGTGAAGAGCTCCTGGTTTTGGTCTCATTAGCTCTCTCTGAAATGACCTATGGAGAAGTTATTTTTGAACAAAAATTACAAACGTAATATTACCATTTAAAATAATAAAACTATTTCTAGCCTTTGGACTGCCAAAATTTTTTACAAAAGGAAAAGCGAAGCCTTGATCCTACAAAGCTGTGTATATAAAAGCTTTTATTATTAGTTTTATTGAACTTAACAATAGTCTGCATGGATAGTTCTTCTAAAGGCTACAGTATTGAGCACAGCCATAAAGTTTTGCAGCTCTTTACCTTCCTACAATGCAGTGTGGTAATAGTGAGCTCAGCGAATGGTGCTGGGCACTGTGCCAGGGCACCATGTCATAGGTTTTGT